TTTACCACGGTAAGTCTCGTTTAATTTCCTAATTATTTCTCGTAAAGTCTCACTTACGAGATTATGTGAATCTTTAAAGCAAACAAAGGAAATTTTTAAACTTTTAATACAGAGTTAGAAAACACTTCATCAGTTACAACTTGCTCTTTCAGAAAATCTTTCAGAAAATCCTCGTTTTCCGAGTTGACTCCGGATACATGACATGTCATAAGATTGAGACTCTCCCAAAGAGGGTGCGACTCTCCGCTTGATACCTGCACAAGATCTTTTTGAGCTGGAAGAACCACTGGAATATCTACTATCAACTCGAGTAACCTCGTGAACCATGGTTGGCTTGGCCATATTGGTGCTACAATTATACACTTCGCCTTGTCTTGACGAATCTTCTGAACACAGCGGTTCAATAAGCTGAAAGGAGGATTCAAATAATAATAAAAATCATGCCATGAAAAAGTAAAAGCATTTATATAAGATGCATCTGGATCTGGTTTCCAGGAACAAAAAGTTTTAATCTGACAGTTAAGCCTTGTAGCAAATAAATCAATGTCTGGTAAACCCCGTAAACTAGAAATCTTACAGAAAATATCTGAACTTAAGATCCATTCAGTTTGGTCATCGAATTTCCTGGAAGCAATATCTGCTACATTAGATTTTCCAGGAATATGACTTGCAGTAAGCCAAACATTATTTTCAATGCACCACTGCCAGAGTTGTTTCGCAAGCATATCACAACATACAGAATTAATACCTCCCATATTGTTTATATAAGCAACAGCAGACGTATTATCTGATTTTTCACATGTTTACAATGAAATTTATTGTCAATATTAAAAGATTTCAAACCATGAAATCCAGCAAGTAATTCAAGATAATTAATATGAAATTCTGATTCTAAAGAATTCTATCTACCACCTATTTTATAATCGTCACTCACAGCACCCCAACCTAACAGAGATGCATCAGTGGTAACAGTGAAATGAATGTCCCCATGGGAGATAACTCTATATTGACTGTCTAAATTAATGAGCCACCATTGAATTTCAGATTTCATATCTTCTGAGATAACCATAGTTGCATCAAAATTGAAGCCTGAACATTTTAAGGCCCTATATTTATTTCTCTCTAATTCTCTATAATGCAATGGCCCATATTGAACTGCTGAAAACGAAGCAACCAATGAGCCAATAACCATAGCAACATCCCTAATCTTTGCCTTAGAACATTTAAAAATCTGACTACAGGCTAGTATAATACGGGATTTCCTCTCCTCTGTTAGAGTAACTGTCATTGTATGGGAATTAATAATATTTCTTAAGAAAACTATTTCTTTGGATGGTTTGAGGACAGATTTTTCATAATTAACTGCAAACCCTAGACTCTCCACAACAGCAATAGTCGCAGAAATATTATTCTGACGCTCTTCAACTGTATCCCCTAGTAATAGAGAATCATCAATGTAGGCAGTGTTGATGAAACCAAGACGACGAAGAGTTGAGAACACAGGTTTTATTAACTTTGTGAAAACTCGAGGCGCACTAGCTAACCCTTGAGCCATGCATGTGTACATATACAATTTATCATTCCACATAAATCTAAGGAACTTTCTATGTTCTTTGGCAATAGATATTGAATAATATGCATTGGAGAAATCAATACTGCCGAAAAAACAATCTTGAGTTACTGAATTAACTGCAGTTTCGAAATTATCCATTTCAAACAATAAATTTATTTAATTCTTTCAAGTTGAGAATCATACGAAATTTACCATTTGGTTTAGGTCTAACAAAAAATGTAGACACAAAGCCATCAAGCAAAAATTGGACTTCCTGTAACACATTCATATCCAGAAGATTTTGAACCTCATTAGTGATTACAGCTGAATGCTGCTCACTGAAAATAGGTTGATATGGCAAATTATATTGAGTAGGGATAAGCCCATCAACAAACTCTAAATGGCAATGTTTAACAATATCTAAAATTGTATAATCTTAAGTTAATTTCTCCCGTGTATATCCATATAAACAGAGCCTGCCAGCTTGAAACTTACCGGCATTTATACTTGCCTCAGAAACTACTTCTGTTGAGCTTGTTGGGAGAGGGGTCGACCTTGACCCCTCTTCTGGAAGTGTTTTGAGTCCGAACCATATGAACCATAGGAACCTCCAGAGCTACGTCCTCGATAATGACCTCTAAAAAAATCTTCCTCTAAATCCTCTACCAAGGATAGCCCTTCCTCGTCCTCCGCGACCTTGAAAAGCACCAATCTTGTTAATTATTCGAGAGCAATTAGATATATCCTTGACAGTTTTGGAAACATCATCACCAAACAGACTGTCTGTGTATTTCAAATTTTGACTACATAGATGTAAATACTCGCCCCTCATATCGGGTTTCATCATGTCTCTACGAATAAAACATAATTGTTTATTGGCATGTCCAAAAGGAGCTAGGGAATCCATTGCCTGTTCCGGAACATGATTCACATCCATAGATTGTCCACTACCAAGAGTGTCAGTAATTTTAGACAACGAAACTGCTCCTTTAATAATGGAAGTTTGAGCATTCTGTATTCGCTTGTCCATCGTACGTGTAGACTGGCTGAGAAAATCCCACACTAATTGATTAGTTTTAACCGTCATTAAAGTCTCACAGTTTTTAGGACGGGGGATAGATTTTATCAATTCGTTAAACCTATCATCATCTACACCATCTCTGAACCAGTTATTTATCAAAGATGTCTTGATTTATTGGAACATCACATAAATCTTTCACTTTCAACTTTTTCCCCGCCTGGGCAAAAATATAGTCAGATAACTCCATATCAGATGATATTTTGGCTTTTTTCGCCGGTAAAACATCCAAATCATCATCACAATACTCTTCATCATTGTAGCCTAATAATTCATTTTCATCATAATCGTCATAATTGTCATTATTGTAAAGTTCATCAACTTTACTAGATAATTTATCGAAACGAGAGTTCTGAGCAGTTTGGTTTTCCTGAATAGCTTTCAGAATCGACATAACGTCACTATTACTAGGCTCGACTGACGGCCCGTCTTTCGATTTTGATGAAGCAAAAATATTTGATTTAAACACACTCGTCGAGCTGTTATTATTGTTACCGGTACTACAACCAGGTAAAGAATTAGTGGTATTATCAATCTGTTTCGGAGAATCGGAATTCAAACCTTTCTTTCTTCCACCTTTAGTTGATGAACCAGTAACCGAGCTTCTAGACGGCCTTAGTTTTTCTTTCAATGGCTCCTGAGAAACTTGAATCTCAGCCATAGTTACGATGTAAACAAGTCAAGCACAGCGTGTGCAAAACTAAAATGGCGGATAACCTCCAACCCAAAACGTCCTGCATAATAACAATCGTAACAACGATAAAGTAACTAACAACGTCAGCAACACATACACTGGTAAATTAAATTAAATTAATTTAAAGTTTATTGACCGCGTCAATAATTACCAGGAAAAATACTGAAAGTCAACAAGACCACGTCCTGTCACTTCGGCTAATAGCAGTACAATGAACTTGTACGGCTGCGCAGTCCTATTCACCTAATCTCGTAAGTGAGACTTTACGAGTGAAACTTCAAAGTCGATTTTTCCGAAAGTTTGAAAAAATGCCGAATTTCTGGTTTTGACTGAAATAAATAGGGGACATGATAAACTTTCTTTAGAAGCAAACATTATACCTCTGGGGTCAAAATTGGCGAAGTTATGGCCATTTTAGTGGAGGGGTGGGTGTCGGCAGTCTCACTATAGAGTCTAGTTGCACTGCTTGGAGTGAAGACCAAAACTTTGACAGGCTTTCGTTCGAAGACTATCAGAGATAGAAAGTTGAAATTTGCACTGGAGGTACACATCCATCTGAAGTTGTTTTGTTCCAAATTTCAGCTTCGTATCATGAATACTCTGCCAGTTATAGCACTTTTGGTCTCTAACCTTTCCCCAAACCAAAAAATATGCGATTTTCCTCTGTAAAAATTCGGGGGAAACTTCAAAGTCAATTTTCCGAAAGTTTGAAAAATGCCTAATTTCTGGTTTTGACTGAAATAGATAGGGGACATGATCAACTTTCTTTAGAAGCAAAAATTATACCTATAGTGTCAAAATTGGCGAAGTTATGGCCATTTTAGTGGAGGATTTCAAAAAATCCGAATTTCTGTTTTCGACTGAAATAGATAAAAGAAATGTTAAACTTCCGTTTGCAACAAAAATTATACCTCTGGGGTCAAAATTGGCGAAGTTATGGCCATTTTAGTGAGGGGTGGGGGTCGGCGGTCCGCCTATAGGGTCTCATTGCACTGGTTTGGGTGAAGGCCAAAACTTTAACAGTCTGTCGTTCGAAAACTATCAGAGATGTAAAGTTGAAATTTGCACTGAAGGTACACACCCATCTGAAGTTGTTGTGGTCCAAATTTCATCTTGAAATCTCTACCAGTTACAGCACTTTCAGTCTCAGACTGAAGGTACACACCTATTGGAAGTTGTTATGTTGCAAATTTCAAGTCTCTACCGTGAAAACTCTGCCTGTTACAGCACTTTGAAGTTCAGATTTTTTCCCTAACCAAAATATAAGCAAATTTCCCTCTTGAAAATTCGAGTGGTACTTGTAAGTCGATTTTCCCGAAAGATTTCAAAAAATCCGAATTTCTGTTTTCGACTGT